GCTTTTAAAAAAAAAATGTATTTACTTTATCTCTCGTAATATATGAATCACAATTGCATCACAAGACGTGCTCCACTCGGCCAAATAAGAGATACTATATTTTGTGAAACAATAATCTGAATATATATAACAAAGCATTAAAAAGAAAAACAAAGTGGAATTAAATAATCAAAAGAATTGACGGGCAGCAAAATAATCTTTAAAAAAAAAAAAGAGGGGTAGTAAAATAATCTTGGTTAACCATCGACTTCTACGGATGAGGAGGGTTAAAAGAGATACGTTACTGCCTTTAGACCAAATGATTGTACCGCTGCACATGATTTAAATTTTATTGTAATTATAAAAATTTAAACCTGTGACCTGCACCATATGTAGTATTTCACTCGGGGCTAACTCTTCAAAGACAGTTAGTTTCGGGATGAGCATCCTTATATAGCAAGACTGTAGGCTTGTCACCTGCCGATTGACTATTTGAGACAAGTATTTAAAGACTCCAGAGTCCAAACCAAGACATATTTTGAAGACTCGAGTGTGAATTTCTCATGGTATATTATTGGTGTTGCCTATGATAATAAGGGACATACATGCATATATGAACATGTATGTTAATGTGATAAAGACCTCATAGGCATCTTTGTACTTACGTGTGATGATGACAGGTATGTGTGCAATATTTGTAGTCTGTTATAAAAAAGGGATAATTTCAGATACCTCCCCTGAGGTTTCTGACAGTCTCACTCTCCTCCCCTGTGATTTTAAAAATACCACTAACCTCCCCTGTCAGAATTTTATATCCATTTCTTACATCATCATGGTGAAAAAGACTTAAATACCCTTACAAGTTTGTTAATATTTCGTTCAGCATAATCATCATGAATGCTGTTAAAGGCACCTTCAAGATGGGGGCTTATAAAATGCTCTCTGAAGTTTCACCGCTTATCCAATACAAGGATTTTACCTCCAATCATCCCCTTCTTGAAGCCCTTGATGATGCAGCAAATATTCACATTATAGACTTTGATATGGTGCAGCCACCACACCCACCGTCTATTCCCTTCTTCATACTAGTACACTAGTTTGTTGACTTGTGGGAGTATTTGGGTTTTGTGAAGATGTCTCTCCTTTCGGATCTCATTAACTTGGATCTTTCTGAATCCACGCAGAAAATGATTGCTGAATATGTTTGGATCGGTGGATCTGGTATGGACATCAGAAGCAAGGGCAGGACTTTAGATGGACCAGTTAATGATCCTGCTCAGGTTCCCAAGTGGAACTACGATGGTTCAAGCACTGGTCAAGCCCCTGGTGAAGATAGTGAAGTGATCTTATATCCCCAGGCAATATTCAAGGATCCATTCAGAAGGGGCAACAACATTCTTGTTATGTGTGATGCTTACACTCCTGCTAGGGAACCTATTCCAACAAACAAGAGGTACAATGCTGCAAAGATATTTAGCAGTCCTGAAGTAGTTGCAGAGGAACCTTGGTATGGAATTGAGCAAGAATATACCTTGCTGCCGAAGGAAGTTAATTGGCCTATTGGATGGCCGGTCGGAGGATATCCTGGACCACAGGGACCATACTATTGACAAGGCTTTTGGTCGTGACATTGTTAACTCACATTATAAAGCCTGTCTCTATGCCGACATTAACATAAGTGGCATCAATGGAGAAGTTATGCCAGGGCAGTGGGAGTTCCAAGTTGGTCCTGCCGTCGGCATCTCTGCTGGCGATGAGCTTTGGATGGCTCGCTACATTCTAGAGAGGATAACTGAAATTGTTGGAGTGGTCCTCTCTTTTGATCCAAAACCCATTCAGGGTGACTGGAATAGTGCTGGTACTCATAATAAATACAGTACCAGGTCGATGAGAAGTGACAGAGGATTCGATGTTATAAAGAAGGCTATTGAAAAGCTTAAATTGAGGCACAAGGATCATATTGCTGCTTATGGAGAAGGCAATGAACGACGTCTTACTGGGAAGCATGAAACAGCAGACAATAACACTTTTTCTCATGGGGTGTAGCAAATCGCGGAGCCTCTGTAAGGGTTGGCAGGGACACAGAGAAGGCTGGCAAAGGTTATTTCGAGGACAGGAGGCCTGCTTCAAACATGGATCCTTAAGTTGTGACTTCCATGATTGCAGAAACAACCATTGTGTGGAAGCCATGAGGCTTAAACCATTTTCTGCTGCATCATGGATTTATTCGCATTCTTGAACGCTGGAGTCAATTAGATGAAGTGTACGCTCTTATCATTCTTATATATCAGCTTCATTATCCTTTGTCTGTGTGTGCCAATAATCTGACACAAAGCAGTGGAATTTAATTAGTCCAATGGTCGGTTGGTCCCGGACATATGATTCTTCATAGGATTAGCTCATATGAGATTAGCTCATTAATGCAAGATAATAAGGGCATTTGTGGTATATAGTTGTTCCTCCCTCCAGTTTCCCATTTTTTTATTGTTTGTATTTTTTAATTGGGTCTACTTTGAGACTGCCTATTTAGTTTTAGGGGAAGTTAGTGGTATTTTTGAAACTATAGGGGAGGGGAGTGAGACTGTTAGAAATCTCAGGGGAGGTATCTGAAATTATCCCTATAAAAAATGGTGCAAGAATTTCGTGTATGTTCATTATTGATCAAATTGGTCATGAGTCCAACAGCTAATTTAGGCCATTTCCTTGATTGATTGATTGATTGATATATATATGTACCGAAGTTTTATGATTTTCACGTCTGAGATGTTTCATATTTCAAGGAAGTGTATATATATAAATAGAGAGAGAGAGATGGTAGACGCTATATAACCCAAAGGGTTCCAAATTACTCTTAGATCCTGTTTAATAATTCAATTTAGCATTTTAATTTAATGGATTCAGATTTTAGTATATTCAAATCGTTTGATAACAAAAAATTGAACATTTGAATTAATTAAGTGACACCGAATTTCCTAGGTAAAACTTGCTCCCAAAATTAAGTGATAAACTATTCATTTATCATTGAATGTGATATGTACTCAAATGTATTAGATTTAATACTTAACAATTCAATAACTTAATGGATTCAGAATTCAGACTTCAGTTTCATTGCTTATTTTTAAGTCTTACTGTTTTCCTATATCTTTATCCCTAAAATATATACAATTTCTACTCCCTAATTTGTGGATCCTTTTGTGTATTTCTCTTCCCTAAAAGTTATCGCGTTGGTCACCTAACTCATATTCAGTTCTTAATTTGGGTTTATATTTGGAAAATCCTGTCCGGTTGTGTGACAATTAAACTGACCACAAAGAAAAGTTTCTTGTTCCATTTGTGGTTTGACTTTTTTTTTTTTTTGTCGATACGATAGCTTCTTATACTATGAGGGAGGGGAAGGACCTGAAGAAATTCAAGAATAATCCGGAGGAAACTGAACCACCATTGGACCAGACGGGTGCACTACGCACCCGCCTGAATTTTTTAAACAATGCCACATTTAATTGTGACAAATTGGTGAAAAGCAAGGTTCCACTAATACCCCACCAAGCTTTAATGCTTTGGTGGTGGCCACCGGACGGAAAGCCCCAATTACATGAGTATTCTGTTCCACTGATATAGATAGGTCTGGGAATGCCACTGGCCATTTGGTCCAGTGGTCATCACCCTCTTTGATGGTGCTGGAGGTCAGGGGTTCAACCCCTGCCTCCCTCAAATTTGCCACAATATGTGGCTAGTTTTAGTTGACCATCTTCTCTTGCCCATTTCCCCTAGATTAGACTAGTTTAGGTTATAGGACATCGTTGTAGACAAAAAAAAAAATTAGATAGGTCTGGGAACAATTGTATGCTTTCGGTTTATCCTATTTCAGACATACTGAGCTGTGGTAGGGTGGGACTGAGTGAAAGCCTGAAAGGTTTTAGATCAATTCAGAGAGATTCTTAGAATTTCTCATGCTCTTATCTCTCATTGTTTATATATTTAATTGACTGGAGAGATCATGTCCTAAATAACATGCACCTTCTCGTATTCAACCATGAAGAAAAAAATACACCACTAAACTAAGCATGCGAAAAATCAATGCCACCTCATGGGCTCCTCCAATACAACACAACCCATGGCAACGTTGATGCAGATTAAAAATCATATTGGATCCAGAAGCTATCATATTTTTCAGATTTAGAAGCTAAAATCAGTTGAAAACTGGTGGTCTCTAACTAAAGAGCATTACACTTAGTCCAACATATAAATATATAATCAGCAAGGAGTAGTAGAACCACAATTTTTGGTTCTAGTGCTTTATGTGTATCCATTCGACTGGAATATTAAATAATTCCCTGTTCTTGGATTGAGTGCGTGGAATAATATCTGATTCAGATGTGTATAAATTATTCATTGCTCTGGTTTCGTTGTCGGTGGAATCAAAGTAGGACGATCAACCATCCACATAGATAACAATGAGCAAGAATCATCTGATCTTCGTTGTCGGTGGAATTAAAAGTTCAACTAAAATCAAGCACGCACGCAATGAATTTGATGTCGGTCTGGTTCTAGTACCGCTTCCATATCTACTGCTAGGAAATCGATGCACCCATATTTCGCAAGTTAGAAGCCCTCTCTGGTGAATATTCATGATGTACTGGTAAGTAGTGACATTTACCCTCCTCACATTTCAAAAGAGAAAAGAAAAAGGGATAAAATGGGGACACGAGCCCGAACGGTTGTCAGAAAAATTATTCGGGTCTATTTTGTGCATTTTGCACAAAGATGTAACTTGCATTGCACACGACGTAAGTCACTTTCAATAACGTGTAATTATATAATAAATTTTTTGGATCCTACACATGATATACAAAATAATGTACAAAATACAACCTGAATCTTACTCTTTTTTTTTTTCCCAATCTTGAGCATACACTTTCTTGCAACCATTCCTGCCCCTCCTCCTAAACTGGGTGTGTAAAATGCCACTCTCGTGAGAGTGACAGTGACAGAGTCACAGAAGTCTTGGCAGTGACCCGTCTCTGGAGCCGAAACTATTCATTTTTCTCATTGTCTTAGCCATAAGGCCGATAACTCAGGAAAAGTGACTAATTTCTCTTTGATACATTGTGGATTAAAGAGGAACAGAATACACTTCATAACCCCTGTGCACAATACACTTCATATCCCCCAGTGCATAAATTCCGAAGCAGGTGCTTTTACCATTTATGCTCTAACCCTTGTCTGGGGAATCCTTTGGTACAAAATTCGAATACTGAATCAAATTCTAAACTTGATAGTAGAAAAAAATTCTAAAAGTCTTTCTCTGAACCACTGGAGCAACTCTTGCGTGTGGTTGTTTGTGTTTAATGCATCAACTTCACTAGAAAAACCCATGATGAAGCCTGCCATGCAGGTGCAGGGGAGACAAGAAAACAAGAGCTAATTCCTCCTCACTGCTGTTATTTTCTTCCACAATCTGTGATATCTGATATTCTGCAACAATCTCATTAGGTATCACCAAGTGCCTGCAAAGTGGGCATGTAGCTTGCCAGCCCTGAAGCCATTTCTCTATGCAGTTTCTGTGAAATCTATGCTTGCATTGTAGAAGCTCTCTGCCCTCTTCTCCTTCCACAAAATCTGATAAGCAGATGGAGCAAATAAGTGGCTCTGACCTCAATCTTCTCAACTCCTTTGTGTAAACAAACTTGGAGCTTTTCTTGTTGATTGCCGCCATGTACTTGTACTTGGAGCTTGTACGTCTGCACCAGCTCCAGGAAGCACGTATAATCAAGATTGTTAATCTTATGGATTGAGGAAGTATTATGGAGAAGATAATGGCTGCCACCTTGTAAAAATGTGAGCATAGTTTTTCCAAAGCCTTCATTCTTCTACACAACGAGAGGGAGATGATGAGGAAAACAGAATGGTTCGGGGCACAACTAAAGCAATGAACCAAAATAGAAACTAGTATTTCAGACTAGTTTCTTGAAGTTTCTTTGGTCGGTTAGATTGTAGTTGTTAGTAGTTGTTGTTTGACTTGTTCTCTTCTTCTATAGTGCAGGTGCGTTGGCCGTCCGCGCAGAGCTTCGTCCAAATATGGAAAGAGATTCTGGGGCATAAATTTGAGGAATGGTGATTATTATTCTGTTGGGCGTGCTAGATTAAGCAAAAATTGGGTCATGGCATCTGATTCAGTTTGATCCTTGTGCAAGCTAAAACAAGAAAAAGAAATGATGCCTTATTTGCACAAGAGTTAGTTGAAACTTGACATTGTTTCCTTAAAAAAAAAACTTGTCATTATTGCACTACCACAATTAAAATAGATTTGCTAAATCGAGTAGTTAAGTAGGTTTACATGTCTTGACTTTGGAATCTAATTTCACTTTTTCATTTTCAATTGCTTACTTTTGGGTTTCCCTTGGGCACTTGACTTCAGCTTTTCAACTACTAGCCTTGGAAAACGTTGGAGAAAGTGTTAAAAGGTTAGGTATCAATTCGAAGATTAGGACTATTTAATGATTGGATGCTAATGACTACGAATATATAGATTTTGTTAAGTTCTTGCCTTCCATCTTGGCGTATGTGTTATCACTTCTTAGCATTTGTCACATGTTCCTATCATGAATATGGTGAAAGCCCATCAGTACTTCGTACTATTTGTCATGTTATAATAATCAACTGGTGATGGCTCAGTTACAGCAGAAGTAGCAGAAGCAATCGCAGGTCACGAAGCAGGTCACGAAGCGGACGCACTCGCAAGAATGGGAGGCAGATTACAATCCAACTTTGTAACTTTTGCTAATTGTCCTCAAGAACTCGCTTTTGTCTTTGATGAGGACTTGAAAGGGATCTGTTTTCCCCGCTCTATCTCCTTTGCTTTGTAATAGATAGGGCAAAACCCTGTTGTTTATTAATATTTAATCCCTATTTTCACCAAAAAAAAAAACGAAGCAGTCGACTTTGGCTAAGATTTCTAACTGTTCCTTGAGGCTGATGCACCGTCGGTTATTTACAATTTTATATCCTGCAAGATGAGGAAGATGTGCTGCTGCTATCTAAGAACTGTTCCTTTAATTCTTCACAAAAAAAAAAAAAAAAGGAACATTCCATCGTGGAGAAAGCTTGAGTATCTCTGATGGAAAGTCAATGTATAAATCGGATTCCTAGGGTGCACGCATAAATTAGCTTTTCATGCTAAAACGTTTAACCTTATGGATTTCCTATAGAATTCTCCATCGGATTTTGTAAAGTAACTGGTGGTGCTTGCCGATTTCCAACAATCTAATTAATAATAGTCATTTTTTTCATGGGAAAAAAAAAACTGGTGATGATTGCAAAGGCTACTAAGTAATAAAAAAAAAAAGGCTCACTCGTTCCGACATGCAATTAAGATGTAGAATATTTTGGTTCCTGGGCTGTCCAGATCAATTTGTATTAGCTAAATTTTCTGTTATTGTTGCAACCAGTACGTGTTATTACTACATAATTGGTAAATTAATTAGTAACTATCAAATGTGCTGGTTCCCTTGTCGATAGAATTTAAAATTGGACAATCAAATATATCTGTAGGGTACAAGTAAATTATGGACCTTATTTGAATTATCATTTTTTTTAAAAAAAAAATTATATTTTTTCTGAACACATTTATCAATCATCTTTTTACAGTATCTACATCAAAATTCCTACACTGCATTTTTCTACAAAAACTTTATAAAATAGCAACTCAAACGGGTTCACATTTTTTTTTAAATACTTGCAAATTACAGTAACAATCAGAACAGTTTCGGAAATACTAGCGCGGTATCCCATTTCTACTGGTGGAGGATAAACCTGGCCCTGCAAGTCCTCAAGGCTTTTTTTTTTTTTTTTTGGGGATAACTTCGAGCCTTCTATTCAATATTACTTGTAGGCTAATGTCTACCACCTTGATTGCTGCGCGTACATTTCTCGAAAGAAGAGAAAAAAAAGGGATAATTGCAGAAACCTCCCCTGAGATTTCTGACATTTGCACTGACCTCCTCTCTAGGTTTAGAAATTGCATTCACCTCCCTTGAACAGTAACAATTCGTTACAGAAACCTCCTTGACAGCTTTTGTAGAAGTGAGATAAGAATTTTCTTCCAATTTTGCCCTTACTTGCTTGACAATTATTATTTGCTTGACAATTGTTTAACTAATTATCTAATTAGTCAATAGTTAAACTAATTAACTATTAACTAATTATCTAATTAACTATCAACTAATTAATTAATTAACTAATTAACTAAAGCTATTGTCTGTCCGAAACTAACAAACTATTTGCATGTTAAACTAATTAACTAATTAACTAACTAACTAATTAACAAGCTATTTGCATGTTAAACTATATGCAGTACGCATTACCTATTTAAAGTATTGGCTCTTTATAGGTATTTTACTTTCAAACATTTAATTTATGATAAAAATATCAATGTTTGTAAGTAAAATTCAAAAAGTGTTACAGTAATATTCTTACAAAAAGGGAGGGGCATAGGACCATAAATTAAATATTTGAAAGTAAGAATATTGATATTACTGTAACACTTTTTGAATTTTACTTACAAACATTGATGTTTTTATCATAAATTAAATGTTTGAAAGTAAAATACCCATAAAGAGCCGATACTTTAAATAGATAATGCGTACTGCATATAGTTTAACATGCAAATAGCTTGTTAATTAGTTAGTTAGTTAATTAGTTAATTAGTTTAACATGCAAATAGTTTGTTAGTTTCGGACAGACAATAGCTTTAGTTAATTAGTTAATTAATTAATTAGTTGATAGTTAATTAGATAATTAGTTAATAGTTAATTAGATAAACAGAAATTAGTTAATTAGTTAATTAATTAATTAGATAATTAGTTAGTTAATTAGTTTAACATGCAAATAGTTTATTAGTTTCGGATAGACAACAGCTTTAGTTAATTAGTTAATTAGTTAAGCAGTTAATTAGTTAATTAGTTTAACATGCAAATAGTTTGTTAGTTTCGGATAGACAACAACTTTAGTTAATTAGTTAATTAGATTAAAAAATTAGTTAATTAATTAATTAGATAATTAGGTAGTTAATTAGTTAAGCAGTTAATTAGTTAATTAGTTTAACATGCAAATAGTTTGTTAGTTTCGGACAGACAACAGTTTTAATTAATTAGATAATTAGTTTAACTATGCAGAAATATTTTGATTAGTTAATAACTATTAACAATTAGATAATTAGTTAATTAGTTAAACTATGCAGAAATAGTTAATTTAGTGTAATTTTTATTAACAAATGTTTTGTTGGGTTTGATGAAAGTACTAATCACATTCATTTGGTAAAATTAAATCATGTCAGGGGTACTTTAGTAAATTGACCCACTTTTGCCTATTAAATTGCCTCCAACTTTTGATAGGGGAGGTCAGTGCTATTTCAAAATTGATAGAGGAGGTCCATGCTATTACTATAAAAGTCGGGGGAGGTTTCTGCAATTATCCCAAAAAAAAAGTGTAAAAATGGTCGCTGTAGAAATTTTGTCCGATCTTGACAATTTGTTTATCAGATTGTATATCTAGTGCTCACGGTCACGAATGAAGGGCTCGTGATGGCTGTAAAACATTGAAAACGACTCCTATAGCTAAAGACCAATGAAGATATTACAGACATACAGGCACACGGAAAAGACTTTTCGTGTAAATAATAATGGATTGCATTTGTTAATTATCCACAGTCTCATAATGAATCGCCATTGGAATTTGGAAACTTGTTTTAAGTCAAGCACATGGAATTGGACCTGTATTTTGTGCTTACCTGTCATATTTACATCAGTCTAAAATGAATTATTTTTAAATTTTTTATAGTACAAGTGATAGGTTTCGAATTCAGAACTACTTGTTTTACTCTCTCACTCGTACCAGTTAATCCATCCCTCTTCCAAATCTAAAATGAATTCTGAATATTCATGAAGATTGCAAAGCCGTTCTGAGGAGTTAGTGATAATAATGGTTAATTACTCTCTTGTATTGACTATGATTGAAGCAAAATTTGGTATTTGGAATTGAAAATTCCACAAATTTGTTAGAAGAGATGAATTTGAAGATGGCAAATTAAAACCATAAAAGAAATCAAGAGTAAGTTGAAAATTAAGGGGAAGCTAATCGAACCCCACTCAAATCTTTCGTACCTTTATTTTTGTTTGCCCTTTTGGAAGTTATTGCATTATTATTTCTTGTCCTGCTGAGTTTGAAAGTCAAATTGACTGGTCCATAGGGAAGGTAATATAGCAAAACTCACAATATATAGTACTGGCAACTGGCAACTTGCCAATCCAAATCGAAAAAGGATATGGGCTCAAACGAAAAGTGTAATAAGTTTGGGACTTCATAAGTTAATTGCATTTGGATACGACCAAGCTCAATATCTTCTAAAGTTTGCACTACTGATTGAAGGGGAAAAAAAGAAAGACTTATTGAGTTTGATTATGAGCTTCATGTCTTTCTTGATTTAGTACTTAATAACACATCTCAAAAAATTTCATGAAAATGTCGTAGAAAATGTTATAAAAACATTTTGAAATTACTTAATAGAAGATACGACATGCATTTGAATTTGATTAACAAAGAAAGAATTATAAAGGGGTGAAAATGCCCTAAGAACAATAAGAAAGTGTTCATCAAATTTAAAAAACATATAATTTCATTCACAAATGACTTAGAAATGTCAAGAATAAATTCATCCTCAATTTGAGTTCGACTACTAGTCTTTTATATCTGTTACCATAACATAGTATAGTCATCATTGTGTCACTCTAATCCTTGTTTACCATTTTCCATAATATCACGTAAGGATCAAAACGAGGAAAAACTTCGAAGAAACTTAAAAGAAAATCTTACTAATAGAACAAAAAAAAAAGATGCAGGGCTTTTTCTGAAATTCTGGACTAAAAGGAAGGGGTGGATTGCAAAAGATGCCTAGAAACCATAAAAGCCAGTTCCCGCTTCTGGCGTGGGTGTGTTCTCTTTTCTCCTCGTCTTCTGTCAAAGAAGACCCCCTAAAACACACTCCAACCAGACAGCGACAAATTGACATTTATTACCACCCTAATATTTTCTCTCAATTTCTCTCTATTCTCAATCTCCTCTGCTCACTTTTCAAGCTATCCTTTCTCAGATCTGTGAGTCCCCCACTTTCATTTCTTGTCATTCCATAATTCATGGCATGTTGCGTTTTCCTGAATTTATTCCAGTTAAATTTTTATTTCGCAATTTTTTTGGGTTTAGCATTGCGTTTGATAAGAATATATGACGAAATTTCTGTCATTTCATTTTTTTTTAGCTAATATGAATTGTTCTGCAAGTATGCTTGATATTTATCTTCCTTTTTTGGGTTGGCAAAGTCTCAAGCATTAGTTGGTGATAGTTTTTGGTCTTATTGTTATGTTTTTTGGGGGTTCAAAATTGCTTAAATTTGATATTCTTAGTTCCTTTCAGCTTCTATATTTTTATTTTGTTTTTTCTCATGATATTGTACATGTTCCTGGGGTATAGCTATGAGTTTCCGTGTTGGATTAGTCTTCTTTGCGGATTTTGTGGCCCCAATTTGAAGGTTTAATCCGTTGTTCTGGCTTGAGACCACAGCCATTATCAACAATTTGCTGTTAAAATTTTGTCAGACTTTCAAAAGATTCAAGCCTTCAGTGATTTAGAGTGTTAATCTTAGCTTTTGAAAGCTTGTTTGCTGAGTATTTGTTTAATTTGAACCTTTCACATTCGTTTTGTCAGATTTTCATTTATGTCCACTTTTTTCAGAAGTTTTGAAATAGATGACCGAAATCTCATACTTTTTCTATAGACGAATCACTAGCTCAGTGCTAATAACTTTCAAGTAGGAATGTGATTTATTTGATACTGTTTGTAAGAGTTCCTTTGTTGT